TGTCCGTGGTCCCTCATGCGAGTCCGTGCAGGTCCTGGCACGGACATGACCGAGCTACTGTTCTACCCTCTCCCCCATTTCTCCTTTCATGAGAGGGTTGAAGAGCGGAGCGATGATCCCCATGCCCGCGCGGGCCCCGCACTGTGTGTGGCGTGCGCGCCTCTTGTTCCTCCCTCCTTTTGTCCTGTGTTTTGCTGACCTCCGTTTTGCCCTGTGTTTCGCCTCGTCCCTCTGCGTGGTCCTTCCCGCTGTGCTGCGTGTGGTTGTGTGCGGAAGATCGCAGCCGGAGCGCGAGCGCGCCTGCCCTAGGTACGGTAATCCTGCATGCCGGCCGCGCCGTGCGGCCCCGCCGCCGCTTCCGCCGGCCGCCTAACGCCTCCGCTCACAGCGGGCTGCGCCCGTCCACCGCAACCGCTACTAATGCGAGCGACTGCGGCTTGCAAGCGAGCAGCCCGGGCGGCTCCGAGGCCCGGCAGAGAGCTGGGGCCCTGCCTGCCGGCAGACACGAGCGCTCTCGGGCTCCCAAGTCATCCCCCTCGGCTGATTCTGCCCAGCGCAGAAAGGGGAGCCAGGGAGAGGCAGCAAGCGTTGCAATACCCGCACATCTCTGCTACTAATTCATCCAGCCTTGTTTTGGTACTCTCTCGCTAGAACACTGTATGTGCTTTTTATGTTTGTTTTTCAGTTTTATTTTACTTTAAGCTAGCGTTTTTTCTTCAAATAGATAAAGCAAAGCCCACGGACGCAAAAGCCAGGTTCAACAGTAGCGCTGCTGCTCGCCAGCAGGATGCCCTTACTCGGCAGCCATCGAAGCCAGAAATCGCCTGGTTATGAGGCCTTGTTGCTCCGCCTCAAGGTTTTCCATCCAGGAGGAAAACAGGACATGCTCAGACGTATTCCGGCTGGCGCATCGATGTTGTGCCCACTGGAATACGGGCTGGTAGAGCTCGCCGTTTGTTGCTGTTAATGGCATACGGCGACGTTCTTCCCATCGTACAGCCGCGTTAAAAGATGGGAAAAGTGTCTGCCCACCGTAGGCCGCCCTGCGGCCGCAGCTGCTTCCACTGCCCAGGCTGCTGCCGGAGCCGGGAGACGCCGCTGCTTAGCAAAAGCGGGGCAGAAACATCCCGCGATGGTTTTCCGCAGCTCTGGCACTTGCTGGCTCACCACTGCTCATGTAGACTAGTAGATGTTGCCATTCGTTTAGTTTTCATTTCAAACGCTCGCTTCTGAAATAGTCTTTGAATAGTTTTCTTCTTTCTTAGCTTAGCTTACACCTCATAGTCTTGTGACAGCTTCAGCCCTGAGGACGGGGCCCTCAGGTTTGCTGTCGCAGGAAACAAGATGGGAATGTGCAGCATCACTAAGCAGAGGGGCTCCGTGGACCCCTCTGCTTTAAAGAGAGAAAATCAGTGATATGCTGATTTTCAGACAGCCTAAAATTCAGACAGAGCCTAAACTTTATGGCATTTCTCTGCACAGGAACAAAATATTTCACTATTTTCAAAAAATAATATTTTCACTTCCAAAGGCCCTTGTCTTTGGGGTGAGAAGAATTGCTCGTTGCTGGAATTTCCTGTGTTTGGGCTCTTAAAAGTTATTGCAGGTTACAAGGAAAGATGTCTCGGGGGAACTACTTTTGTTTTTTGGGGTCTGTCCCCTGCCCCACCCCTGATTTTTTTCCTGGGCTTCTGTGAGCCTCAGATCTACTTGGGAAATGACATGGGAGCCTTTCTGGAAGAGAAAGTGAGCTAAGGATGTCGTTCATTAATTGATTCATTAAGTGGGTTTGGATTTTTGTTTGCCTACATTAGATGCAAGGCACGGAATCAGTGTAGAGCATCCCTGCTGCAGAGTGTGGCCGGTCAGGCCCATCCCTGGAGGGGAACATATCTTCTACCTCCTGTATAGTCCCATCCTCATTGCCCCGTTTTCTGAAACATGGTGCTCCTCGAGGATCCTAGCCAGAGTCATTCCAGAATTCAGGAGTGTCTCCATAAAGGCCTGCAGCAGGGCGGACTTGACTGGGCTTCCTTTTCCAATAGCTGAAACAGAGAAGGGATCTGCAGATCACTTGGATCTGGCTGGTTTGCCCCCTCGACCGAAGGAAACGGAGAGCTTGCAGATGACACCACCTTCCCCGGATTCCAAGAAAAAGGCCCGAGGGATCAAGAAGTTATTTGGGAAGTAAGTAAGAGACAAGGAACATCCTATTCCCCTGGGCTGGGAAAGGGTGCAAATAGTTTTGTGGCTCCATGGCCTTCTCCAAGGGTGGTTGCAGGCATAGTTGGGGGTTGGAGTGCCTGTTGCAAGAGCTTCTATGGCGGCGTTGGAAGAAGCTCATCAGAGGGCAGGAAGGAGGGGCTATTAACACCCCTGGAAATCTTACCCATATTGGTTGCAGTAATAAAAATGTGTTCCTTCCTTAGCCAAATGTGAATACAACTTGTTTCTTTGATTCAGGCTTAAAAGGAGCCAGTCTACCACCTTCAACCCAGACGACATGTCCGAGACGGAGTTCAAACGAGGAGGAACAAGAGCAACCGCGGGGCCCCGGCTGGGCTGGTCGCGAGACCTGGGGCAGTCCCACAAGTAAGATGAGCAGCACTAGGTGCCCTGCAGCCCCTGCTTCTGCTCGCCCTCCCCGGAGTGAGATGTCTGCTCTCTTGGCAAAGGAAACGGGTGGTCTTCCCGGGGCGAAGGCTGCCCTGGAGCGGGGAGGCGTGGGTGGTGGGATCCCACTGCCAAGGGAAGCAGTTCTTTCCCGTGGCTTTCCCAGGATGTAGCTGTTGGCTGGCAGAAGAACCAGCTGCGACTTAGAGACCACCACAAAAATATTGGAGTCCTATTTCAGAAGATTTGGGGCACAGGGTTTATTAGTCTTCTTTCTTTTTAAATAAATCGCCTTTAGTGAGCTGGACATGCCATTTGCCAAGTGGACAAAGGAGCAGGTTTGCAACTGGCTCCAGGACCAAGGATTAGGGTCTTACATGAGCAATGGCAAACACTGGATACTGTCTGGGCAAACGCTTCTGCAGGCTTCTCAGCAGGATCTGGAAAAGGTGAGACAGACTGGAAATGCTCTTTTCTGTTTCTGTTTTCTAAATGTATAAACACTGGTATTTCTGTGCATGTTAATATCACATCTGTAAAGTGCAGACAATGAATCTAAAAAAGTACCTGAAGGTGAGTCTTTAAGATATTATCATCTGCAGTAATGCAAAATCGATTCTTTAATTAGCTGAAATTTTACAGAAATGTGATATTTTGTAGTGAAACTAATAGTCACAAGTATGTAATTTAACTTCATGAGGCATGGACACATCCATCATTCCTGCCACTTTTTCAAAACGTGCAAATGTCTCATTACCATACACATTTTTAGTCCTGATTCATTAGTTCTTGTGCTTTGTAGCATTTTTTTATATATTAATATATATTATATGCATATTATATAATATATATATTTATATTTATATATTATATTAGTGTTAATTATATATTAATTAATATATATTATATATGTAGGGCATGTGTAAAAGTTGCTGTTGTGGCCTGGTTATGTTTCCCATCTATTTTACACAGAAAAGCCTGAGGATGTGAGTTGTGACACACAGGGTAGTCAGTCTCTGTCTGTTACTTCATTAGAGAACTGGTTACGTGTTGTTTTCTAAAATAAAAATAATGAAAAGGTTGATTTCACTTTGCTTTGAATGTTAGTGTTTGAATGTTTAGCTTTTAAGAAAATACTGCCCTCTCCAAAATGTAATCCTGTTTTCTGTACTAGGTAGTGAGCTAATTCAAAGTTGTATTTATACTATAACCCAAATAAGAGAAGTGTGGTATGGAATTAGTGGCTTGTAGTATTCAGAGATAATGTTAATAGTAAAAATATATATATGATTGAAGAATGCCTGCGAGATCTGCACTTCCAACTAAACTGTGAAAACTCCTATGTTTGTTTTTTCTTATATGAATGCAGTTTACTGTTTGACCCTCTGAAACACTTAAGTAATTCATGCATAACAAAGGGAGAAATAAAATACATCGTCATCTCCAGCTTTTCTGCTTTCTTTCCTGCCACAGGAGCTTGGGATAAAGCACCCGTTGCATCGGAAGAAGCTTCAGCTTGCTCTGCAGGCACTGGGCTCTGAAGAGGAAAACAACCATGGAAAACTGGATTACCACTGGGTCACCAGTAAGGCTTCGTTGTGTGCTGCAGCAGCAGCTTCGGATAAGGGCTACTCGGGGCTGCCTTGGGGCTCAGAGGGCGAGGGAAGCATCAGCCAGTGGTGGGCAGCGCGTGGTGGGCCCCAATGCGCCGCGCTCACACGGGTTGCTCTCCCTCAGGGTGGCTGGATGACATTGGACTCCCCCAGTATAAGACTCAGTTTGACGAGGGGAAGGTGGACGGCCGGATGCTCCACTACATGAGCGTGGTGAGTAAATGCCAACACCGACGTGGGCCCGCTCTGGGCTCCTGGTCTAGGCACACCTCTTGTGAAGAGCCGGGCCTTTGCTCTTTGCGCTGTTCTTCGCTAACAGGAGGAAGGGGAATTTCTTCGTCTCTTTGGTGAGCAAATGTTTAGTCTGCTTTATTCGCGTGGCTGCTTGAGGTGAGAGAACCCGAGCAATTTGCTTTGAAGGGAAGTGCAGTTTTAAGTGGCAGCTGGTTTGAAAACAGGCTACATTTGATAGCATTTGCATAGTGCGTTTCAAAATGTAAAACACCAGCATCAAACCCCCCACCCGTCCTCCATTTGCTGCCTACCAGGCAAAACCAACCCTGCAGGTTTCAGTTGTTTAAGGGCTGCTAAGATCTCAGGTAAGATGAGATAAGACCTTTGTGCTTCTCTGGAGACATAAATGCAAACAGAGCGTCGCTGATATTATTTCCTTCTGTATAACACAGGAAAAATCACTCACAGTGCTGTTCCCTCATGAGCTGTGCCATGGGCAGAGTGCAGGTTTCCCTTTACTTGGGGTTTGCATGCGTTTTGTGTAGTCTTTACCTCAGCGCCAGGAGGACGGACGCCTAGGGTGGGTCTGTTTTCACTCTCACATAACTTCTCTCAGAAGTTTGTAGAAATCCTACAGGTGAAATAGGGGGTACATCAACAGATCTCTCTGTAGTGAGCAGCTAAGTTGTCCGGGGAGTCGTTAATTTTAACCTCTGTTTATGCAAGTGACTAGAAGGGAAGTTTGAACGCAGTTGGAGTGGGCACTCCTGCTAGGAAATACACATGTAACACAAATATTTGTAAGGCCTAAGTAATACTAGAACATACTAAGACAGATTAGCACCGACATAATTGTGCATAAACCCAACCGAGTCCAGCAAAGAGCTGGACTTTGAGACACTTAATGGCATAGCTAGGATGGAATCACAGTTTAAGAGCACAACTTGGCAAGAACGCAAGTCTCTCCATATGTAGCCTCTCCTACAGTGCAGGAAGGTGTTTCGTTCTCTTTGGAAATGCAGCAGCTGTGCAGGAGCTGCAGCATCTGGCCAGGCCTAGCGTGGACGCCTCCTTACCAGCTTTGCATGTCTGGGCTACATGAATGAGAGGGAATCTACTCGCTTTGATTTGGCGATGCTGAATTTCTGGGGCTAGATGCTGGAATAAATCCAAATGAAGGCAAAATGTATCATCGTTTGCATTGCATAGGCTGCAAAGCTGAGGGTAGATGAGGATGTTGAGTAGCACTGATGGCCTTTTTTTCTTTTTTAACCTCTAAGCCTGATCTAAACCTTGTCTCCTTCTGCCTTTGTGCATAGATGTGTCATGCGTGATAAACCTGCAAGGGTAGCAGAAAGCTCTGTCTTTTCCCTCTGTGGTGGTAAATAGGTTTGAGGGAACCCTGAGGACAAAAAGAGAAACGGGGAGTTTTCAGAGCAGAACCAAGAGTGACTTCATCTCACTCGACCCCAGGGTCAAACTCTCCAGCCTGAGGCGGGTGTCAGTGCAGAGAGAGGGGCACTGTGAGGCAGCAGCTCATTTCTTGCCGTGGGACAGAGTTGTCCTTAGGAGGTGCCCATCTCTGTCCATTGACTCTGGTGCTGGTCTGTGTGAGCTGTAAACTGATCCCTCAGGGGGATTAACCTTTGAGTGAAAACGTTATGAGGATGAAACGTTGGGTGAAAGAACCAGCTGCTTTCATTAGTACTGCTGCTCCCTCGCAGGGAAGAGCATGGGCAGGTTCTTTGCATTTTGTAAGACGATGAGATGCCCGAGATTTTTCCTGATATTTTTCCTGATAAGCACTAGTTTATGGTATTGAGACTTTTGACTGGATTAAATCAATGCATGGAAATGTGTTGGATGCACTGTGTTTGGAAAGCCGTTCAGTCTCTCATTGCATTGCTGAGGATGCATCCTCACCCTCCTGCCTCATCTTTGCCCCGGGTGTCTTGCACTAAGTTCTGCACCAAACATGAAGAACATTCCCCAGCTGCTAATGCCCAACAAGTTTTGATTTTGGGACGGGATAGCTTGATATTAGCCACATGTATAAAATATTGTAAACTTAGCCCGATATGTGTCAGATGCGGCGTTTTGAGCCAGAAGCCTAAGCTCTCTCCTCCAGGCAGGTGTTGCTTCCATGAATAAGTGTGTTTGTTTATTAGTTCTCCCTCACTCTTCCACAGGACGACTTGCTGTCCTTGAAAGTTGTCAGCGTCCTGCACCACCTTAGCATCAAAAGGGCCATTCAGGTTCTGCGAATAAATAACTTTGAACCCAACTGCCTGCGCCGGAGGCCGTCTGATGAGGTACTACTTTAAGACTAAATTGTGAAGAGGAATGCTCTAGGGTTTCTTTTTCATAGTGTCTCTGATTCTTGCTGCCTTGGCCTTTCCTCCTATATCGCTTTTTCTTATTTCATCTTTGTTTTCCTTTATCTCATTCTTTTTTTTCCGACTATCCTATCCTGCCTTCTTCAGCTGGAGTGGCACTTTTGCTCCTCCACAAGCCATGACCCCAAGTCGTGTCCTGTTGCCTCTGCTTTATAATTAACAGTTGGCTGTTCAGGGCTAGTCTCTAATGTGCTGTCTGTCACCTTCAACTTGATGCACAGTTGCCATGAGTCCTTTTGTAAATCTGTGAAATCTGTGGCTGTCCCTGAATTTTCTGCGTAAAGCCTGTCCAGTTATCAGCTGGGAACCCGCCATCAGTTTGTTTTGGAAGCGGCGTAGACTGGATAGAGCAATGAGGAGTGGGTGATGAGGCAAACCAGGGCCTTGGATTTAGAGTGCTGAGGTGGATCTGCAATGCAAAAAGTGGGAGTTTCCCTCACGAGCAGCGTGGGCGTGCGTTCGTTAAGGCCGGGAAGGATTGTTTCTGTAAAGACTGGGGCTGAGGCAGCGGGATGAGGAGGTCTCCTTGACCGCGCCTTGCTGTTCCCAGAACAACATCAGCCCCTCGGAGGTGACGCAGTGGACGAATCACCGCGTGATGGAGTGGCTGCGCTCCGTGGACCTGGCCGAGTACGCGCCCAACCTGCGCGGCAGCGGCGTGCACGGCGGCCTCATGGTAAGCTCTCACACAGGCTGCTCCGCCTGATAGGACGGACTGAGACTCACCAGAACGAAGTTCTGACAGAACCACAGAGCGGTTGAGGTTGGAAGGGACCTCTAGAGATCATCTAGGACAGACCCCTGCTCCAGCAGGGACACCTGGAGCACGTGGCACAGGGTGGCAGCCAGGCAGGTTTTGACATCTTGGCTGCACACTTGTTTATTTTATCTTCTCATCATTTTTGGTCAAAATTTGTTTAAAATTATTATTTAAAAGACGTGTCTTGGCCAAAATGAGTTTGGGCAGCAGTGGGTTTCATAATCTGGACTCCCCTCAGGGGGTTAATTTCAGTGTGGTGTTTTCCACCTGCTGCCCTATGGTGCTGCCATCACGCTGTTAGATAGCCCCTATCTTCCCTTCTAGACCTGAATGTGCTCCCCGTGTGTGAGGAACTCTTGATTCTTCTGTAAAATTTGTAATTTCAATGCCAGGCTAGTGTTGTCTTTAATCACTTGATCCTCAGATGCTCCAGGCAAGAGATGCATATTTGCAGAAGCTTTTTGTGGTGTTTGAGAAATACATCCCTTCTCCACATTTTTAGGACTGTTCATTGTTATCATTCCTCTGGCTGCATCTTCCAGAATTAGAAGGGGCTGGTGGTTAAATATTTTACGGGGTGTTTTGTGAGACCTCATCACACAGTAGAGATTTCAGGCGGGCTCTCTGTGGTCTGGTTAACAGGTGTTAGAGCCTCGTTTCAACGTTGAAACCATGGCCCAGCTGCTGAACATCCCACCAAACAAGACGCTGCTGAGACGGCACCTGGCCACTCACTTCAACCTCCTCATCGGTCAGGAGGCTCAGCAGCAGAAGCGCGAGGCCATGGAGGCCCCCGACTACGTCCTCCTAACAGCAACGGCCAAAGTGAAGGTAGGGTGCTTGGTTTGGGCTCCTAGGCAGACGTGAAGATCCCCAGGGCTCGTTTTGCCCATGCTTAGGGTGCAGTAGGATTCTCAGCACTTTTGGAATCCTATAAATGCCCTTGTATAGCTCAGGAGTATGAGGTTATGTATCTTGTTCTTTCAAATATAACTGTGGTGAAATATGACTATGCAAAAGCTCTTTGTTAAGAAAGCAGGGGGGTTTTGATCCCTCTTCCTGTTCATTAAAACACCAAATACAAGAGTAAGAGATCTGTTAATTCTTTACCAGTTGTCTAACTTCTTTCCTACCAATTTTCCCTTTGTTCATAAGCCAAAGAAACTTGCCTTCAGCAATTTTGGGAGTTTGAGGAAGAAGAAGCAGGATGATGTGGAAGAGTATGTGTGTCCTATGGAACTGGGCCGGGTGCCTGGAGGGGGCTCAAAGAAAGGTTTTAAGCCAGGCCTGGATATCCGAGTATACGACGATGACGATTTGGACAGGCTGGAACAGGTAAACCACCTGTAGCAGTTGGGAGTCCCTGCGTGTTGTCCAGTTTGATGGAAAACCCTCCCTTTTTCAGTGCCCTTTGATTGGGCCCTTGGAAGCTGCGACTTTTCACGGTTGCCCAGCACCAAACATGTGTCTCTTGACACAAGAAAGGTCAAGCTGTGACTGCCACATCTTTAGTCTGGTAAAAAAGCCCTTTTCTCTCCTGTCTGGACACGTTTCCTCCCTTGCTCTGACCTTGTGTGGTGTAATCAAACAGTTGTATTTTTTGCTACAGTGTGTATTAGCACGAAAGTCATGTCTCCCATTATCTGCCTCTTGCAGATGGAAGATTCAGAAGGGACAGTGAGGCAGATAGGAGCGTTTTCGGAAGGCATCAACAACTTGACAGTAAGCACTGGCCATTTTTCTAGAATGAGCCCAAGGCCCTTGGCAGTCTCATCGTGACGGGATGGCCGGCAGCGCTCGCAGTGGGGCCGCCCGGACACGTTCTGGTTGGGTCGGTCTTGGTTATGAAGGCCTGAACCTTGACACTTCCCTCCTTTCCTTTCTAGCACATGTTAAAAGAAGATGAAATGTTCAAGGACTTTGCCACTCGCTCCCCAAGCACCAGTATAACAGACGAGGACTCCAATGTGTGACAGGAACCAGCGGGCGCTGCGAACGTCTCACTTTCCTCTGCGCGAGAAACACGGTCGCCACGCGCGATGGGCAGCAGATCACGTACCCGACATCATTGCTCCTGCTTCTGTTTGTGAGAAGTGGTCCTGGGGGGTCGAGAATTTGAAATGAAAAAGATAAAAAGGTGCCTACTTTAAAGTTGCCATAAGAAACACCCAGACACTGGTGAATGCTAACTGTTTTTACTATATTTAATGTACAAACTGATTATATGTTTCAGAGTGTTGCATTTAAATCTACGTGTTATCATAGTGCTCCTTTTGCTTACTCATTTCCTGAGGTATCCCTTTATACTGGGCTAAGATAACACGAGATATTAGGTAGATAATACTGCATCCGTAGAGGTCATGCAGCAGCTTTCTCTAAGGTCTCAGCTGAGAAAAGATGTCACTGTTGTCCTTCTCAAATGGCTCTGTCCAGCACAAATACCAGTTCTGCCTTTCTCACAATATCCAACATCATAGGATTTTAGTTATTCATGCCCTACATAATCTCCCAGGTAGCCCTTAGCTCTTCCTCTTATTTTTATACTGTTTTGTAAAAAAAAGAAAAAGAAGTATATAAAGTACCTTTAAAAGCAGAAGTTTAAATTTTGTGACATAGAGTGATGGGAAGTTTGAGGTGTGGGGGAAGGGGAAAGCGGTGTAAAAAGATTATCCCAGCTTGCACACCAGCTGGTTCCTGGCAAAGGCAGGCTGCCCTTACAAACTCTTTGCTTTCCTTCCTTCCTTTCTGCAAAACGCACAGTTTAATGATCTTCCATTTGGGGGTGAAGCAATTCCAGGCGTACTTCCTCTTGCAGTGACTCTTGCAGTAGCTGCAGATTTAAAATCATCATCTTTCCTGCTTCCAGCAGCAGTTCTAGCATTCAGACCTAAGGCTATTACCCTTTTTTTTGGCCTAAAAGTATTGAGGAGAATTTTCCTCTTGAGGTTGAGAGTCCTCCTTGCGTGTGGAAGGGATATTTCTGTGCTGTGACTAACGTAAAGATGGTGTAGTTGAAAAAAAAAAAAGTTATAGAGAGAAATGTATAGGAAATGTATTATTTCATAATATTAACCCTGAGGTGGGGCTTTTCCCAGGAAAAAATGAGAAATATCAAACATTGCTCATCATTTTACCTTATTAAAGCACAAGTCTGTTCTACTTTGCAGGTCAGATTTTTAAAATCTTAGCTAGCCAGTGGATATCTTTTTGTCAGACTTTCTGTATTACAAGGTGTCCTAGCCAAAAGCAAACAAAAAAATAACTCTGTTGAAGTGGTCATTTGTGTGGTGCTGAATGTTGCATGTAACTTAGCACTATGGCATGATGCTGCTTTGCTTTGTACAGGGAAAAAAAAAAAAAGCGCAGCTGGAATTGCTCCTTGCAGTGTTGTTCCCTTGCAGTGTTGTTCTGCTTTGGCAAGGATTTGCCCCTCGTTTCATCGCTCTTTTCTGTCAGAAGGGAGACTGGTTTTGACACATTGCTTGTATGGGATAAAGGATGTGAGGTTAGTGCTGCTCTGGTGTTCCTGAAAGGCCACCAAAGTTAGGAAAGGAAGAAGGGCTCTTGGAGGCATTTGGGAGCCGTTCCTGCTGGATGCTGGGGCAGCGTGGACACCTGCTCTACCATTATGTTGTTAGGAGCCTATAAGCTATTACCAGTCTTGTTCTCTGAAGGGTGCGCAGGGTGGGCTGTTATTTATATACGGAGATGAAAACGATGATGAGGACCAGTTGTGTTTCATACAGCACCCAGTGCTGCCATTTTCTCTTTTGTAAGTGGAGCCAGCCAAACAATCCATAATATCTTCAAAAAAAAAAAAAAAGAAAAGATTTGTGCCACTTGGGAGGTGTCTACAAAAAGGTGGCGACTGCTACAGTGACATTATTCACAACTGGTGACTGCGCAGTAGCTGCAGATCATCTGCGTCGTGCCCTGCGGTTTGCGGGCGCTCGCGCTAGTGCAGGCAGGTCCCTCCCGTCTGCGCTCCCTGCCCCGGCGCGCCGGCCTGTGCAGGCCGAGACTGGGTGGTCGCAGGAAAACCAGCGAAGAAGGGGCTAGTGACACAGTACTACATACCGAAATAGCCAGAAACGACTGTTCGCAGACAGAGTTCATCTAAATCCAGTGCTGTTAATGAGCATATCAAGAGTTGCGTATGAATATTTGTTTTTAAGACCAGTGTAAATAAAATTCTATTCAGAAGAATCCTTTTCTGCATGTGCTGGTTGGAAAACGGCTTGACCCTTTGAAGCTACCTATCCTCTGAACTTTATTTGATTTTTTTTTTTTTAATGGGGCGGTGTAACGTGAAAGCAAGTGCTAAAAGTCCGGAAGTCAACGTGCACGTGCACACGCAGTTGGTACCATTGCGGTATTTTCATTTGTGTGTTGTTGAAGAGGGCAACGTAACTACTGTGTATCGCCATGTAAAAGCCAATAAAATCTCTGGAAAAATGCCAAATATTTGCAGCAGCCAGTGCTTTTGAAACGTATCCTTTTTTTTTTTTTCTTCTTAATTGTTACATTCCCTCTAGGAGGCAAGTTGCTCTTACTTTAGCTGCCTGCTTTCAATAGCTTGCACTTGTGAATGTTTAATGCTTGCTTCATGCTGCACCTTAGTTTGTTGTTAGCGTTTGCATTTGCAGCGAGAGCTTCTCCTACCCAGTCTATTCATCCTCCTCCTCCTCCTTCCAGCTGAAGACAGTACTCCTGGAGGCAGCTGGGAAAGTGGAAGCAAAACCTCTGGAGTTGCCAGTGTCCATCTTTAGCACCCAGGTCAGGAAGGAGAGAGTAGCAAGTGCTGGGGAAACTGTAAGTAGAAAGAAACAGAAATGGGAGTTAAGATCTTTGACTGTAGGTCTGAGGGCATCACAAGGAGCTCTGGAGCAGCCTGTGCCACATTTGAGCAATTATGGGAAACGCAGTGGAAGAAAGGGACATCCTCAGTGTTGTTGTTGTTCATGCATTCATTCACGATGAAGAGGAGGAGGCAGAGCTTCGCTGCAGCAGGACAGAGCGTGTTTGTTCGAGGTTGCTCGCAAGGTCCCGGGCAGATGAAGAGACTGTGATGGAGAATGTGGCACCAGCAGCAGCCAGAACTCGCCAAAGTTGCTGGCTGCAGGGTGCTGCAGCAGTAACTAACCCCCATTGCAGCTTTGGCAGTTAGGAATACTTCATTTTGTAAGGCTAGGAAGCCTGTTTATTTTTAGATTTTGCTAGATATTTGGTAGTCTTTGTGGTGATACATTGACTAGCCATTGCTCCCTGGGATAAATCTTAATTGTATGTAGCAATAACACAAGCTCCTTAAGGGAGCCCAAAGCCCAGCTGAGTCCATTGACATGAAGAGCAGTTAATAGATACAAACGGGTCCCACCGTTTCAGGCACTCTGTAGATACCTTCAGCTCTGGCTGCTCACCAGATTTCTCAGTGACCAAAAATAATAGTAATAGATTTAATGTGTAGGAACCACACAGTGCCAATAAAATGACTTCTTTAGTATAGTCCTAGAAGTAGAACGAGATCAGATCAATTAAACAAATGGTCCTGGAATTAAGTAAGGAAAGGAGAGACGAGCGCCTGAGGTGTTACAGCTCCTCGACTGGTCTCTGTGCAGAGAGCTGCAGGGAAGGAGCAGGCCCAGAGGAAAAGGGCTCTGCCCAGTGGGACTTCCCTCTGGAAGGTGACAGGTAATAAATAACCCCTGTGCCTAGTTAATAGGTACGACTGTGCCCAGGGAGCTGTGCCCAGGGAGCGCAGAGACCTGGAAAAGGGAGGGTTGTCCCTGAGGCACTGGGAGTGCGGAAGGAGCTTCATTTGCACGGGAAAGGGGACAGACTATCATGTGAAGCCAAACAGGAGAACAAGGCTGAGAGTCCAGTAACCTGGGAAGTGCTTAGCCACGGTGTGGTCCATGCGTCTCAAAGGCTGGAGGACTGTCCTGCCTTTGCAGCTCCCCTCAGCAAATTCCACCCTGCCGCAAAGACTCAACACAAACACTAACGCAGGAGAGAGCTGGTTTTGACCCACTTCAGCAGCTCCTGTGTTGAAAAGGCAGCAGACAAATGTATCACAGCTAACAAAATGACCAAGCAGCAATCCTGGCTGTTTGGAGGTGGAGATCCGGGCTCTTCCTGGAACTGAAAAGCAAATCAAACAGCACTGCACTGGGCAGGCTTTACGGAAGGTGAGATTTTTCCGTACTGGAAGCAGACGGGCTGCCGCCCTTCCTGGGGGCTGCGGGGAAGCGGCGCCAGCTTTCCCGAAGCGCGAGCAGGTTTGGGCAGCTGGCCGAGTCCTGCCGCCTGGCGGGACGGGACCCCCGGGCTTGTCCGAGCTTGGCGTGCCGGGAAGGCCGGGGCCGTGCGCGGAGCCCTGCTGGACACGCTGCACGGGGAAGCAGAGGCGCCGCCTGGCAGGCAAGAAGGCTCCGCGGCGATTTGTCGTGAGCACTGACAGCTTCCTGCCCACCAACGACGTGCTGGAAACCTGCGTCTGCACAAAAATACATATATACACACACAGACTGAAGGAGGTGGGCAGGGGGTCCATAAACATCCTGTAACCCTCTTGTTGACAGCCCTGCTTCTGTGCATTGGCTTAGTCAAGATGCTTGGGACTGATCTCTTTGGTGCCTGTTGCTTTTCCAACACCATCCTCTCCACCCCATCTTCCCTCTCCGCCCATCACATCCCCTTAGATCATGACTGGGGGGGGCAGCAGCCAAGATGATTCAGTCGCTCCAGGTTGGAAAGGACAGGCCCTATCTGCCAGCAAATGTGTTTATAGAAGGCACGGATTTTTTCCAGAACATTTTGTTTGGCAGACACCAAGCCTTGCCAGAACCCGGTGAAAGCCTCATACCCCCAGCCTTCGGAGTCTTGTTTGACTCACAGCCTTGTTACTGTGTGCACAGAAAAGGCAGCTTTGTTTTTTATTGGTAGACGTTTGAGCCTTTAATAACAAAAATACAGTGTTACTAATTGTAAGATTTGGAATGAGAGTGCAGGCCACACTGCAGGAGTGAGTGGAGCTGATTCATAACCAGGCGGAAAAGCCCTTCCCTGAGCTAGAAATAGGCTGTATAAAAGACTGTTGCCTCCTGCCAGTTATAAACAAAGACTGCCGAGTCCGTGACGAAGGACCTCAGCACCACGACCGGCTCAAGAAGCACAAGGGCTGCCTTGGCCCCCACTGCAAAGCTTGTTCTTGCTAAGCAGCTGTGCCAGGTCGAGCAGTGGCCCAAAGCTGTGGCGGTTGCTAAAATAAAGAAAATCAACAAACTGGAACCAAAAAAGAGAGATTCCCAGTGGAGTCGGAACATTTGCCTTTCATATCAATGTAAGCAGGATCCTGGGCAGACACGGTAGCTGATCAGACAGCTGTGGGAGGCACAGTTACCTCACTCTGAATTTGAGCAGCTAATTGTATTTATGTAGTGAGTTATTCCCTTTCCCTTTCATTTTACTTAACAAGAGTTTTAAAATTTTCAAACTGGTAAGTTTGCAGACTTTTGTTATGGGCCACTGTGGCACTGTAGCTGCTTACTCTGAAGTAACTTCAGTCCATGTCAACATGGTTTTTGTGGACACAGAATTCCATTGGATGTCGTTTCCTGGGCACAGGAGGATCCAGGACAGCTGATGACTGCTCAGGTTATTGCCCCGCATCCAACCAGGCCCCAGACCTGAGAGCTGGTTGCAGCAGTGGCGCGGGCCCAGGCCGGGCCCCACACCAGCAGCAGGGCTGGTACTGGAGGACAGAAACAGCCGGGCCTGCAGTGCAACGAACAAGGCTGAGCTGAAGGGGAGAGATGAAGGACTTTTCTTACCCTCTTCCTCTCAGATCCTCTGCTGCAAATAGTGAGCAACACCTCGGGGAAAACACCCTGCCGCGTGTGGCTTCACCAGCGGCGGTGCCCACCTCCCCACGCGGAGCAGTGAGGGGGACCCACCTCTGGCGGAGGCGAAGCAGCGGCCGCAGCCTTTGGACTCCCTTTCTCTTGGCCAACTTTCCACAAAAAAAGCCTTTCATGCAGGAAGGTCACGTCTCTTCAGCTGCTGTGCAGTATCATAAAAGAGGCTGGCAGAACTTGGCTGTCTTGCCAGAAAACTAGAGAAACACTCACATGTTCTGTAGGAGATGAATTGGCTCAAAGAATCAGAGAAGTTGCAGTAATGATGTATATAAGTTATCCATTTAAGTGCTGCTGTACAGGACCACAAAAGAAATGGGACCAGGACTCAGTATTATTTCAGTAAATTATATTAAAAAAATCATTTTTTTTCATAACGAAAATGTACAAACATCGAGATAATAAGAATAGATTGGAGTGGTCGAGGGGAGGAGAAGCAGCATGAACTCCCTGAGCTGGCATCCAAATAAACCATCTTCACCAAACTCAAGTAAAGGAACAGGAAGCACTTAGGTAATCAAAGCAAACAGACCTTGTCTTTTGTGTGCTTTCAGCTTCTAGTGTTTTACAAATCCAGCATGTCTCCTACGGGGCTGACGAGCTTCTAGGAAGATGATGCATAAATAACACACAGGTGATTCACCTGCAAGATATTTTATTTCTTACACAGATGTGAAAAAAGCCAATAATGCTTGAGTATGCAGAGTAAGTAATACAAAAACAGTTTATGCTTAACCAGCTTGCTATTTTTGACAAGAAAACTTCATTAAATACAGTCATGAAAAAAAAAACTATATTTATCCCACACTGATATAAACCAGCAGCAAGATAACTACGTTCAAATTTCCACATTTTGTCTTATAATAAGACAGCCTGAAAGTTAATTGAATCTTATTGCAACTTTGGAGCATGGTATTAAAAATAGCTTCAGAAGCACACACCAAAAATCCAAGATCTCGGATGCAAGAGTCCAATCAATAAAAAAAAAAGTAAGTTTAGTAATATCCATTCCAGATTCCTTAAATAAACTGCAGTATCTTTTTCTCCACTTAATTCACACTGAAAATTAACCTTTTAATTCCACAACACCCATCTGTTGCACAGGCACAAAAGGAAACATGGCAAGTTACAGCTTCAAAATACCTACCCCAATCCTCAAAGGTAGGTGTCCTTACACACTGATACATGTAGCTATCTAGCATCCACCCTACTTGGCAGTTCATTAAACACCCTTTCAAATCACTCTGCTTTCCATCACCAGGACAAGATTTTTAGTTTCATACACTCCTTGCCGAACAGCTCTAGTCTTAGCGGCATCTCTGTTGTTTGGAAGTAGAAGATTCTGCAATTAAGATGCTTTAAGTTTACTGCAGGTTAGGTAAAAAGCTGCTGTATAAAAGAAGTAAATTAAAAAAAATAAATCAGAGCTATGATAAACAGTCTAAGAAACACCTCCAGACTCAGTGAGCCATTCGTTGCCAGTTAGGTGACTTAAAAGCTTTTCCCATGCATCCTTTCGAAGCAAATCACCTGGAGCTTTGCCTGAGTTAGGCAGAAGCAGGTGAGGCTCCTGCAGTGAGCACTCAGCTCCCCTCGTTCCAGCCCAACCCATGGATAACAGGAAACCCAAACTAGGCCACCTTCGTCACTCAGATATTTTTCCTGCAGGGTGCATGCAGAACAACTGCTTTTGTACTCCTGCATCACCTCCTGCTATTTAAAAGTCAATCGAGAAGTTAGGATTTTTTTTCAGTATTTGAAACACATTCAAGCTGGGATTCCTGGCTGTTTTGGAAGAGTGAGTAAAGCCTCCTGCTTGCCATAGTACCCTTCATTGCCCAGGGATGGGAAGGGCTACTCAAAAGTGGACAGCTGGAAAAAGTGTGTGCGTTTAAAAGAGACCATTTCAAACTACCCAGGAAACAAACCATGAGTTGCTCTCTGCCTCTCTATTCTGATGAACATGGCAACTTGCATGACTTGGGTCACAAATGGCCATCCTTCAACTGGACAGTCCCCTCGGAGTGTCTGCTGCCGTAAAGGCTACTCATACGAGGCAAACACTCCCAGCCCTCGCTGTGTAAAAGCTCTGCAAGAATTAAGTTTGGCATAAGCAAGGTAAATAATCCAGCACATTCCATGTATTTTCATACTTCACGTCAAATTCCAGGTATGCACAGTGTTGGGAAGCAGGACATCGCTGCCATTGATTCCAGCGCTAGTAAAGCGTAAACCCCTGTTTAAGCACTCGAAGAAGCCACAACCCCCTTCCTTGGGGTGGGTTACAATCTCTCTAGAGAAAGGCCACAGCAAGTAAAACGTAACCGAGCAATCGGCACCGCTGCCCCTCTGCAACCCCGTTGTTTCTGTGCAAAATAGAGTACAATCTGAGTACAGTTAAGCTCAAGTGTCTTACACGCCAGAATTCAGCAGAACTGAAGCAACTTTAACCTAACTGCAGCTTCTCAGCACTGTGCATCAGCCACTTGTGTAACTTTGTCTTGTTCCCGTTAAATGTTTTTTCTTCCCTTCCACACAACATCACTGAGATTTCAACCTTCTCTAGAAGGAGAACCGCATGTCCTTGGTGTAGCCCAGTTTGTCCAGATTGGGGAGGCAAGCATACTGGATCATTGGAGGAGGGCCACACATGAGAATCAGAACATCATCCTGGGGTGGTGGCAGGTGATCCCTGATCATCTCTTGGTTCACGTACCCTTCGCTGTATTCCCA